TAGAAAATCCTTTTACCTGACTCCATCGGTGTAGCTATTTTAATTTCTAACATTCCACTAAACATGGAGTTTTTCTTGAAAGGGAGCTTTAGCTACTTAATTTGAGCATCTACAGTGCATATTATTCTCTTTCTCTGTGAGTATGTGAAATTCCCTGTGGTTGTCACTGCTCTTCTGAGATTGTCCTGGGCTTTGAAATGAGAAGCTATTGGCTTAGATCATGTACCTTTTTAAAAAGGTCTTATTTATCTTTACTTATGTATATGAGTTTTTGCCTGTGGTATGTTTGTATACTATGGGCATCACTGGTGTCTATGAAGACCAGAAGATGGCCCCAATCTCCTCAACTAGAGTTAAACTGGCCTGTGGCTGCAGAGGCCTGAATCCATGTGTTCTACAAGAGTTATTAATCACTGAGTCATCCTTCCATCCTTGTACATCCGTTTGGGCAGTCCTCCATAGCTGGTAGTGCCAAGTGTCATTATAAATCTGGGAAGGATGTCCTCACATGCCTAAGAAATGGAAAAGGGCTTCTGAAGACATGCCCTCAAGGTATGATCTCAACTGAACTTTGACCTGTCAATGAAACCATTTTTACATTGGTAGGAACTGATGTTCAATTATCATAAAATTCATATGAATCATTTTATTATAACTAAGACTAGATAGAGAGTTTTGATTATCTGTGGAGGTGACTAGAAAAGCAGCTCTTTTTGTCTGCAGTATCTATAAGTGTATGGGAGGTATGTATGCATGCATCTCTTGTGTGTAGTTTGGATAGCTGTTTTATGACAAAGCTTGGGAACATTTGGCCCCAAACATTTATGTTAAACAAGTATTTTGAAAACATTTATGTGTTTAAGATGATGTACATTAGAGTTAAATCAAGACACAAAGGATGAAGAATCCTGTGAATAGATACGATCACAGAATTGAAACTTAGCACTTTGAATCTCTGTACTGTGGCAGTTTCTAACTCATCGTTCCCAGGTCTTCAAATGCTCTGGGCATTATACACTGCAAGAAAAACAGGTGCACAGGTCACTTCCTTTTTCTCCTTAATTCACACAGAGTACTTATAGCTGCTTTGGATAGTTATAACACGGTATTAGAGGGTCATAATTATTCTTAGTTTATATTAGAAGATAGTTTAACCCATGCTGATAAAGTTAGTGTAAATTATATTTGCCTTTACTGGCATTTCTGGCTAGGCAGAGTGCTTAAAATAGGAACATTTACTTTCTACTGTCTGCTAGAGAGACAGTTGAAGTAGTCATTGGCCAGGTTTCTTCCATGCCTTGAGCACTTGACTCTGCATTTCTAGGTTATTTGGATTGGTGGAGCTCATTCCACTGAGTTCACAATTAGTTACATGTATTGCTTCCTTTAGGGTCAAATCCCAGTTAGGAAGTGTGGCCTCTCACCTCTTGTGACATGTTTGGCCTTAACATTTCTGAGTCCTCCTGGACTTCTCCTTGTGAGGATACAAGTAGATGCACATTTATTATTTGCTAAGATTCTGGGACAGCTAGTTTCTATGAATTATGTGAAATTTAGTGTGGCTCTCTTTGTGAGATTTTATTCCCATGGGATCATCAGAGAGGAGGAGGAGAATGAGCATTGCCTAAAGGAGCTCTTTAGAAATATGTTAGCTTTAGAAACTGCCATCTATTCTCTCTGTTATGGTCATGGGGTCTCAGGTGTCCTTACAGTGTCACTTTTGCAACCTCATCGCAGTTTCCACCAACTCTTTTTATGTATCTGAGGAATTTGTAGACACACGTTATCATTGTTACAATTATGACTTGACTTCTCATTGGGCAGATTTATAGGAATGATCCTGGATGCTGTGGTCCACAGTTGCTTCTTCCAGAGGGCAGATTTTAGGGCACCCATCTTACCTTAGAAGCTTGTATGTTTTCCTAAGCTTGACATCTCTTTACACTTCTATGAATTAAAAGACAAGTTAACCACTAAGGAATATAAGACAGCAGCATATAGGGTAGAGAAAAGTATGATAGAGAGGACTGCTTGCTCCCACAGGTTAGAGGGTGGTGACTTATAACACTGCAGACTTCATCTGAGGGAAAGTTGCAGAGAGAGTTTGGAAGGCCTTGAGGAAGCAAAGAGTCAAAGCATAGGTTGTCTGGATTATCTGTAGGATTTGAAGGGAAATGGCAGAAAGGGTTAGGGTAGGGGTGTGTTTAATGCCCACACTGAGGTGTTTAACCAGTAGCTAGAAAGGAATAGTAGGTGTTCTAAAATACAGACAGGGTTATAATAATAAAGCCCACTCATTCCCCCTTCCAAGCTAGGTTAAATGGCTTGCTATGTCTTGAGCATCTGCTGTTTTGTGTGCTATTCTGGAGTTGCTTTGCATTTTCCTGCCTGTGTGATAGGCCTCCTGCCCCATCTGCACCTCTTGCTGTTACTAGGTTAGTGCCACTTTCTCTGATATGGCACTATCAATGTGCTTTATTCTTGCCCACCGCTCTCTTGTGGCTCATGGAGTCCACAGGCAGAGCGCCTTGCTCAGTGGCTCCAGTGCTGTAAACTTTGTCTTCTGCACAGGAAGTCCATTTGCCATCTGGTCATGGCTCCCTCCCACTGCACTCTAAAAGCCCTGGGCTCTCTGAAGGTCTGACTGCCTCACACTGCCTTCGATGACACCTTCAGGCTTCCTTTTCTCTTCTACTTCCTCAGCCTCATGCCTATCTGTTACTTCTCCAATTTTCACATAAGGTTGCATTCTTAGAATCTTCTTGATTCCAATTGTATGTAAGATCCAAAGTCCTCAATTAAATCATGTCTTCTTTGATGTGCAGTCTCTTCCCACGTGGTGTTTTACCCAAGAGGCCGTCCTTGGGTGTGTGAGAACATCACAGGTTCTGTATACTTTTTTCCTGTTCATGACTACAGCTGTCATCTACATCCTTTTTAAGACCCACTTCATGCAGTTTGCAAGATGCTAATTTGGCATATTCACCCCTAACTCTTTCCTATTTTCATAGTAATATGCTTAAATTCATTTTTATCATTTGTTAAAGTTTCTTGGAAACTTTAAAAAGAATTTTCTGACTATGGGTATTTTAAGAATAGTTACTCATACCAGGCAGTGCTGGCGCATGCATGCCTTTAATCCAGCACTCAGGAGGCAAAGACAGACACAGATCTCTGTGAGTTCAAGGCCAGCCTGCTCTACAGAGCAAGTGCCAGGACAGGCTCCAAAGCTACACAGAGAAACCCTGTCTCAAAGAAAATAAAAGCAAACAAACAAAAATAGATTTCATCATTCATATTTACCTATGTGAGTGGGAAGTACAGCAGTTGGGACAATAATGATAATGAGTATTTTTGCTGGGGCTGAAGCTCGTATGTGTGAAGCTGTGGGGTCTATGTGTCTCCAGCAGTGCACATGCACATACACATGCACGTACATGTCTACGTGCATGTGCACTCACAGAATACCAATAGCTGATAGCGGTTTAGTTGCGTTAACTGAGGAAGTAGTTTTAAGGAGGGTTGTAGTAATGGAGAGCATGAAGCCATCATTTGGCTTTCACTACTCTGGGTTTGGTTTCATTCCTCCTCTCTCCCTGCCCATTTATTGTTGATGATAGAGTGAAGTTTAGGAGAGTGAAGGAAACCATATAACATTATACCCACTGTTGGAGACAAAGCAGAAGTCTGAGTATGCTCTACTCACTTTTCCATTGGTGGTGCTAACTTTTCCACTGACTTGTAAGTGGTCTTAATCTGGGTATTATTTCCTTCATGAACATGTTTTTAGCTTTTAGTCCTGTCATTTGCTCAACTTGTTACCAGCAGGGTTGGTAAATTCACATATATCCACATGCTCCTGCCTTCCAAGTGCTAGGATTCAAAGTGTATACCACACTGTACCAAGTTGCTCCTTTTAGTTTTTTATTAGTGGGGTGAATCTGATCTTTCCCCTGACATTTTGTACTTTTTTTTTTGTTTTGGCTTTGAATTTTACACGTGTGTGTGTGTGTGTGTGTGTGTGTGTGTGTGCATGTGCACATATATGTGCTTTTGGATTTTTATTTAAGAATTTCTTTCATTCTTCAAGAATCCACTCAAGACTGCAATCTCAATACTCAAGAGACTTAGGTAGAAGGATTGCCTTGAGTTTGAGGTCAGCCTGAGCCACAGAGTGAGATCCTGTCTCAAAAACAAACAAACAAACAAAAAAACCAAATAAATAAATAAGAAAAATAATTTATTTTCTGTTTTAAAACAGGTTTATTTTAAATTATGGGTAGATGCATGGATTTGTGCACGTGAGTGCAGATGTCTGCAGAGGACATCAGATCCCTTGTTACCAGAGTTACAGACAGTTGTTAGCCACCTAGGTGGCTGCTGGGATTTGAACTCAGGTCCTCTGCTCCTAACTATTAAGTCATCTCACGAGCCCAGAATTCCCTTTTCTCAAGACATTTACAGGAATATTCTCTGTACTTTGTTCTACTACCATAATAGCTGTACCTCTCATAGTCTACCTGTTTTCTGTGGTCATTCAGGATCAATCTAGTTTTATTTCACTCTATAGCGAGTCTCCTTCTTTAGCATCTAGACACAACTGTAGAAAACTCTTGTAAAAAACAAAACAAGAAAACTGTAAAAACCCAAGACCTGTGGCCACCCATTTCATGAATAGTTTATTATTAGTCAGCTTTCTCCACTGCTGTGCCATCTTTATGGGTCGAGGGACTTTTCTCTCTCAGTTTGGATTAATTCTGTACCCACAGCCAATGACTGACACAGGACACACTCAACAGTCTTCAGGGACAGTTGCTAAACACTGAGGGTATATAGACTCTTTTTACTCAGCGATTTGTCTTTAGCAACTGAAAAACCATAAAAATTCTCTTACCAGCCCTGCTGTTATCTAGTTTGTTTGTTTGCTTTTTTACTCAAGAAAGTAATTTCCTTCCTTCGGAAAATCAGTACCTCTTTGCACCCAGTATCTTAGTAGAGACTAGGGGATTTTTTTTTTTAAAGAAAAGCAATTTTATTAAAAAGAAAAACAACAGAAGGAAACTAGGATCAGAGTATAGGGTTAGTCCATCCAGGTTTTCAGTGTCCTGGTGGTGCTCTTGTCTTTTTCAATGATGTGGAAAATGATGCCCACGCCCGATACAGCATCCTGGTCTACAGGGTTCAGCATGACTTGGGAAATGGTTTCAAACAGGTTGTCTGGGTCCATGTTGGGCTCCCAGAGAGACTTGCACATCCCATACATTTGTTCAGAGCAGGTACCACTGACTACAAAGTCATCAGTCACCATGGGGCAGCTGATGAGGTCTAGAGAGCAAATGAAGGGCTTACAGATCTCCGGGTCCAACCCAGCAATGACAGGCTCTGTACAGTAGTGACCAAACAGTTTCTCATGCAGGAGGTTGGCCACCATGCTCATGAGGGCGAAGGGCTTGATCTGTCGACCTTCCTTCAGCTCATACAGGTTCAGCCAGAACTCGAGGCGCTGGGCAACTGTCTGGACATCGGTAGTCAGCCTGTCTGCAGCGATGGCCACACAGTTTTTTCCCTTCATGACCATGATGGCCCTTCATTATATAACATAATAAACAAGATTGTACTCTAATAGGACTCCAATCACCACTGACTATGGCTAAGCAACATTCCCTGTTCTTCTTACCAATGCAAAACAACTAGCATCTTGCTTTCCATGTTGGTGATTGCCTAGCTTGTTCTAGGTTGAACATCCTTAGTCTGAAGATGCAAATCGGAGATCTTTGGTCACAAGCCTCAAAGTGGTACTTAACAGGTTTGCATTTCAGACTTGAAGCATCAGGGATGCTCAGCTGGTAAACTTTATGCAGATGTTCCCCAGACTAAATCACTTGTAAACTAGCACTTCTGATAAAGAATGTTAAAATTGTTATGTTCTTTTTCATGTTTAACATTTTTTGGTCAACGTGGTTTAAGGCCAATTTGCTGAAGACATTGGTAACTCATTCCAGCAAGATAGCCACATTTAGCATATTGTAGTGAAGATAACAGTATTTCCTAAAGGGAAAAAGAAAAAATTTAAAAGATGTCACCTACACAGTGCAACAGTTCTCTGCCCCGCTGACTCTTTTCCTGAAGCTCAGGAACTTAACCTGTCCTAGGGCTGCTTACCTCTCAGTTGTGTTCAAGATTTCTTTTTAGAGAAGTCTGTAGTGATTTACCTTGGGGATGGGAGAGGGAGAGCATACAGGATAGGGGGAAATGCAAGTAAAAGTTAAGATACACAAAAATGAATTGTGACCATAGTCTTGATAAATGTCAAGACTAGGAGATCTTGTAAAATTAAAGCATCACTAGTAAAAATAAATAAAAATAGCATAGAAAAGAGAACTAGGCTAGAGCAACTGAAGCATCAGCCAAATCTAGGAGTAATAGCAGTGCTGTACAGAGAGCAGTCATAATTCATACAGCAGGTTGTTATACTGAGCAGTCTCATTAATCCATCCAGATTAACAGATAATAGTGAGAAAGGGAATCAAATTACAGAGGATGTGTGTACTGCGATTCCAGTCTGGAAGCTTTCAAAAGCAGAACATTGAACACCCTTCTGAGGAGTGTGTGAAGATGAGACAGGCTTTGGATGTAGTCCAGGGATAGAATACATGTGTACCATATACCACACTCTGGTTTGAATTCCTCGTGTGTGTGTGTGTGTGTGTGTGTGTGTGTGTGTGTGTGTGTGTGTGTGTGTGTACAATTAAAACAGAATTTTAAAAAGATGTAAATGGGAAGTAAGAGTCTGTCTGGGAACTAAGTAATGGAGAAGGTGCATGTCTCTGCCCTTCCTGTCCCTTGCTGTCTTGTGTTTCTGTTCCCAGTCAGTCTTGCTCAGAAACAGTGTTAACCCACTACATTTTATGATATAGGGATCCAGATCATGTAGTATTACTCCTCATTTATAGTTAGTTCTCTCTTTTCCACCGAAGACTTTGCTGTGCCAAATTAGTAAACTGAAGACACTGTCTCAGTGCATGAGAATTATGTTCTTCTAATTCTTTACTTCTGAACATCCCTGCCTCTTGTGGAAAGTACATTCTACTAGGAACTGTGAATGGAATTGTAGTAAATGAGATCAAGAGGAATTTATAGATAATTTTGCTTCTTTCTTTTGTCAATAGACTGGATAAAGTATATGAATTTTCTGTGACTTTTTTTTATAAATAAGACTAAAATTAAAATGATCAAACCATATATGATTTTTAAAGATATTTTAATTTAAAAATGAAAAAAATTATATTTTGTGTGTGTGCATGCAAGCATTGTGCAATTACATGCCATATGAAGGACATGAGAAGGTCAGAAGACAACTTGCAGGAGTTGATTCCAAACGTCTTTAAGCAACTTGTTCCAACTGGGCTGGGAGGCACTGAGCTAAGTAAGGTGTTGGTCCAAATTCACCAGTATACACTTGGAATAAAGTGTTACATGGCTACCAGAATGATGACTGTTCTCAGGCCTGAGAACCTATAACCAGTGTGGAGCTGCTCACAAGGTCTGCGAGGGCATGCAGCCAGGAATTAAGAGTTTTGATGGGCAGAAAGCCTTGCTGCACTTCCTGGCAGCCATTTTCCCCTTGTTGAAGCCATTGTTTTCATCTCTGTGCTCAGTGCTTGGTACTTCATTTAGACGTGCAGTTTCTGAGATTGACTCATCATTGGGTTCATAGGTAAATGATAAGTCTCAGAAATGGCTCATACACTTTCTAACTTTTTTAGTTCTAAAAGTATTAAGTATTTTCTTTTACAAATAACTGTATATGTTGGTTTTTCTTGTGGGGGTGGAGAGTAGGAGGTCTCTGTAACTGTCTCTCAAATGGACTCTGAAGGCCAAATGCTTTTCAAGACTGTGAATCACCTGGCTTCTCAGCTCATCAAGTGCTTTTGAAGGCAGATTTACTTTAGGTGCGTGTGCTCAAGCTAACTGTAGTCATCCAGCTAACTGTAGTCAGGCTATGACATCACTCCTCTGCACAGGAACTGTGCAGTTCTGGCCCAGTACTTGCCTTTTCCTTTCCTTTTTAGAGAAGTGAGAATCAGTCTTTGAGTTAGGTTTTTACAGAACAGGAGAGAAAGGATGGGAACGGAGAGCTGCATGTACCAGAGATGCTGCAAGTACCAAGTAAAACTCTGAGCCTGTACCCCCAAAGCAGTCTAAAGGCACATCAGCTCAGAATACCCATTTTCGTGGTGAAAAGTACATGGCTCAAAGTGTGTCAAGGAATAATAAGATGCAACAATGTACTTCTTAACAATTTAAGACCAGAAAAGGAAAGTCCTCGGGAAAATGTCCAAAAGCTGTCTTCAAGCATCTTGTAGAGTGGGGGCTAGTTTAAGAATTCTCTGACTGTAGAGGAATGGCAGTTAAGGTACCCTCTCTGTTATTGCTTAGATTCTCTGTTGAGTTCATCCTTGTGGATTTCTGGGAATTTCCCTAGTGCTGGGTTTCTCCTTAACCTCATAATGGCTCCCACTCTGTCCTTCCCTCAACTCGACCTTGTTAATCCCTCATTTTCCCTCCTCTTCTCCCCTCCCCACTCTCTTACTATTCCCCCCTCCCATCCCCAGTTTACCTAGGAGATCTTGTCTATTTCCCCTTCCTGGGGGGAGGGGTCCATGCATGTCTCTCTTAGGGTCCTCCTTGTTTCCTAGCTTCTCTGGATTGTAGGCTGGTAATCCTTTGCTTTATGTCTAATATCCACGTATGAATGAGTACATACTGTGATTGTCTTTCTGTGACTGGGTTACCTCACTCAGGATGGCTTTTTCTAGTTACATCCATTTGCCTGCAAATTTCAAGATGTCATTGTTTTTATCAATGAGTAGTATAATACTCCATTGTCTAAATGTACCACATTTTCTTTATCTATTCTTTGGTTGAGGAGCATCTAAGTTGCTTCCAGGTTCTGGCTTCCCTTCGCCTATAATGATATTAATGACTACCTTAATTGTCATCATAGAGCCTTCATCTAGTAACTAATGGAAGCAGATGCAGAGATCCACAGCCAAGTCCTGGGCTGAACTCCTGGAGTCCAGTTGTAGAGAGGGAGGACTGATAACATGAGCAAAGGCGTCAAGACCGTGTTGGGGAAACTCACAAAAACAGCTGACCTGCGCAAGTGGGAGATCACTGACTCCAGACAGGCAGCTGGGGAACTTGCATAAGACAGAACTAGGCTCCCTGGGGGCTTGAATAGTTTATGGGACCTCTGACAGTGGAACCAGCATTTATCCCTAGTTCATGAATGGGCTTTTTGGAGCCCGTTCCCTATGGAGGGATACCTTGCTCAACCTAGATGGGGGGAGGGGCTCTTGGTCCTGCCCTAAATGATGTGATAGACTTTGATGGTTCCCCATGGGAGGCTTCATCCTCTCTGATGAGTAGATGGGGTTGGGGTGGGGAAGTGGGACTGATATGTAAAATAAGATAGTTTAAAAAAATTCCCTGAAAAAACAAAACTGTTACTGGGCAGTGGTGGCACATGCCTTTAATCTCAGCACTTGGGAGGTGGAGGCAGGCAGATTTTTGTGAGTTTGAGACCAGGCTGGTCTATAGAATGAGTTCCAGGACAGCCAAGACTGTAGAAACACTGTCTTAAAAACCAAAAACAAATGAAAACCCCACAAGAATAAGGCATTATTGCTACCCCAGATGTATATTTAATAGTCCTAAATGAGACAGCCGAGGCAGGCCATTGCTAATTGTAGCCCTAAACACTAGCCAGAGTTTACACAGCATGTAAAGTCAAACCCACTTCTCTAACATCAGTCTCATACTTTCTGACTGCCAGTGTGATGACACAAGTGGAGACTCCAATGTGATCCCATGAGATGGCTCTGTTCAGAACACAGGTGCACTAACTGCAAATCGCAGTGTATACATTACCTTCAGACCACATATGTATAAAAGAAAAGTTTCCTGTTCAAGCTGTGTTCAATCCCCCAAGGACTCTATGTATGTACAAATATTTCTCAGTCTGAAAAAATTACAAATCTGACCTGTTTCTTATCCTAAGCATTTTGTAAAGGGAGTCAGCATGTGTTTACTGGGACTATATAGGACTCATCTAGGACTCACTGGGTCTTTTGGAACGTGCATTGCTTCCCAGCTTCTGCTGCATTACAGCATAGGTTATTGTGGCTCACTCCACCCCACTGGCACAGATAAACAAAGGGCTTCATCCTTCAGCCCCATCCCAACATGTCTTAACATTCGCTAACAGATTTAATATTAGACTGTATATTCAAATATCTTTTGTTAAAATTGTGCATGAGCTTTCCTTTGGTATACTAGCTTTTATTCTTCATGCTGTTTTGTAAGAGTTTTTCTGTTTTTGTTTTTTAAATGATTATATGCTAGTACCCTTGCCTTCCTTGATTATTATGGGCTAGAAGAGAATCTGATCACTGAAAGTATGGTAAAATCAACTTCTGATCATGTCCCTACTTGGTGCTTTTTTTTCCTAAGGAAGCTTTTTCCCCCCACCTTTTCATCTTAGGAAATTGGGATTTTTAATTGACCAAATAATCA